TCTTCGTCGCTGATGTCGGTCATCTACGGGCGGGGGGGGGGTGAAGGGAGAGACTGGAAGGATGAGGAGGATAATATGAGGAGTTGGATGATGGGGAAGCTGAATGTGTGCGCCTAGTAAAAATGAAAGTATGAGCTTAGGCCACCAAGAATGAGGGCACCAAGAAATCTGTAACGACACACTGGCCAACATGTAACTGCAGTCAAGCTCATGCACACGACACCAGGGCTCGGATGGGCGGAACGCAACGTTGCGTGTCTCAGGAAGCCCGAACAGGCCTAAACCGTAAATCGTGAAGATGACTCTGCTTGGATCGGTGCGCTGCAACGCCACAAGCCATCCTGCAGCCTGCTGCCCGGGAAAAAAAGCTCGCGCTGCGCTTCTTACCTTCAAGAAGCGAAGGAATGCATGGCACCAAAAAGAACGCTAACTCCTGCGAAATTCAATGTCATTAGCTCCGTGAGTGGGCACCTGAAGGTTTCTGTCGCTCGCGCCTGTGATGACAGCATCGGCCAGACACCTCACGGCCTCTGCGAGTTGCAACCTATGGGGCCCTCGCAGATGTATATACGCGCCGCGAACTTCAACGGTACAATATTATATATCTATGCATGTATATATAAAGAAAAGACAGAAGAAACTTACAACAACAACAACAAAAAAAAACAAAAAACAAACAAACAAACAAAAAAACGCGCGATGCGCGTGCGAACTGTGCTTCTAGCAAGATGTGGCGACGGTCTAGGGTTCGCAGCATCGAAGCGCAGAAATACTTCTATCAATCATGATCAATCAGCAAATCGTACCCTCCCTCTGTCCCCACGGATGCATGCCATGAACCCCAATCGACCTTAATCCTGCATTCTCCTCTCAGCAAGCCCTCTCACTCCCTCTTTTTGTCCACTCCCCTTTTGGCGGACCAATGGAGCCACATTCCACGCGGCTGAAGAGCTGTTGCGGTTGCGGGCGCGGTGGACGTGATCCACGCGGCGAGCAACGCGACAAAATATATTCGTTGTCGACGCGGTGGACGTGTTCCACTGGGCGTACAACGTGACAGCATATATTCGTTGTTTGCGCGGTGGACGTGCTCCACTCGGCGTGCAACGCGACAAAATCCGCCGACCCCTTGGGGTCATCGGCGTGTGAGATGCTTCCCCCTCCCCAAACCCCTCCCCCTGGGGCCCGGTCCGGTCGGTTTGGAGGGGGGGAGTGTCCGGCCGGCCCCGGCTGAACGCGTCACGGGCCTCACGACGGGCCATGAGGGCCCCAAGAGGCCCACAAGATGGTCCAAGAGGGCCCCGAGTCGCCGATGGATCGTTCCAAGCCGCCCAAGATGGCCCCCAGACGGCCCAGGAGGCCCTCGAGACGCCCCAAGAGGCCACCAAGAGGCGCCCAGGAGGGCCCCCAGAAGCAAAAATCGTTCCATTCCCTTGGGGCTGTCACAACGTCCAAGACGGCCCACAAGGCCTCTTGGGCTGTCACAACGTCCAAGACGGCCCACAAGGCCTCCAAGATCGCCCCAAGACGGCCCAGGAAGCCCCCAAGAAGGCTCCAAGACGGCCCAATAGGGTCCCAAGACGGCCCAGGAGGCCCCCAAGACGGCTCCAGGAGGGGGCCCAGGCGGGGGACCCGAACGGAAATTTCGAGACCTCGGCCCCAAGAAGCCTCCAGGAGACCCCAAGAGGCCCCCAAGAAGCCCCCAAGAGGCTCCAAGAGGCCCACCAGAGGCCCAAAAGAGGCCCCAAGGGGCCCCAAAACAGCCCCCAGAAGGCCTCAAAGTGCTGCCAGGAGGCCCTCGAGAGACCTACCAGGAGCCACCCAAGGGGTCGGCGGTGCTGCGTAAGCCCAAGAATAGATTTGTTGTCGACGCGGTGGGCGTGTTCACTCGGTGTGCAACAATGAAAAAAACAGCTGGCCGCAGGTCTAAAACGGATTCCGCATGATCCTCCTCGATATCATCATCGTCATCATCATCATCATCATCATCATCATCATCATCATCATCATCATCATCAGCATCATCATCATCATCATCAGCATCATCATCATCATCGTCATCATCATCATCATCATCATCGTCATCATCATCATCATCATCATCGTCATCATCATCATCATGGTCATCGTCGTCGTCATAATCATTATCACTTGGTTCATCACCAGCAGTAACAAAGAAATAGCAGCATCGCAATCATCATCATCATCAGCATCATCATCAGCATCAGCATCAGCATCAGCATCATCATCATCAGCACCAGCATCAGAAACTGCAGCAACACCATGAGCCTAATAGACACACACAGCGTCGCCATCATCCTCAACAACAGCATCATCAATATCGTCCTCGTCAACATCATCAACAAACACATCGACATCAACAGCAGTTACATCCGCTTGATCACCAACCTCATCATCACAATCATCATCATCATCAGCATCCTCATTATCATCACCATCATAGTCACCGTTGCCCTTGACATGGGAGGGGTGCCTCCCATCGCGAGCTCGCTCCAAATTTGCCTGGTGGGCGCTGCTGGGCACCCCACGGCAGGCTTCGGCACCAAACCATCCCTTCTGCGGCCCTGGGGAAACCAGAAGGTGTCTATACAACTACTCCACGGGCCTTTCCTGGGGTACGTTCGGACCAGGACTTCGCAGCGACTCCAGCGGTGGCGGCGAGGGCATCCCAGGAGGCCGAAAAAAGGGAAAACGGGCCGAGGGTAGCAGTGTGGGTACCTTTTCCTCCTCTGAGGCCCCCCCGCGGCGCGCCTGACCGTGTGCGCTCCGATCGGTGTCGACACTGGACGATGTGAGGCCACACTCCAACAATCGTTGCGGGGGAACGGTGCCCTCCCGCCTCCTCGGAGAAGGCATGCGTCCATAACGTGAGCGGCAGCGGCCCCTCTCTCAAACAGACGCGGCGAGGATTGCCCCAGAAAAAACGCAGGCGGCTGGTGATACAGATGCGGCGCGTGGTTCGAAAAAATGAGCAGCGCGACGCCAACTATGGCCAAGGCTTGGGAATGCGGGGGTCATCAGTATCATCATCAGCATCAGCATCATTATCATATCAGCAGCTGCATGATCATCATAATCTGCAACAAGCCCACGAACATAAGAAGCACAAGCATCGTCGTCATCATCCTCAACAACAGCATCATCACTATCGCCCTCGTCGGCAACATCAACAAACACATCGTCATTAGCAATAATTACCAGTTACATCCGCTTGATCACCAGCCTGATCATCACAATCATCAGCATCATCATCATCATCATCATCAGCATCATCATCATGATCATCATCATCATCATGATCATCATCATCATCAGCATCATCAGCATCATCAGCATCATCATCATCATCATCATCATCATCATGATAATCAGCATCATCATAATCGTCAGCATCATCAGTATCATTATCATCAGCAGCATCAGCATCAGCAGCATCATCATCACCATCGTTGCCCGTGGCATGGGAGGGGCGCCTCCCATCGCAGGCTCACTCCAAATTCGCCTGGTGGGCGCTGCTGGGCACCCCACGGCAAGCTTCGGTACCGAACCGTCCCTTCTGCGGCCCTGGGGAAACCAAAAGGGACCGATGCAACTACTCCCCGCACCTTTCCTGGGGTAAATTCCGACCAGGATTTCGAAGCAAATCCAGGGTGGCCGCTCAATTTGACAAAACAAAAAAACGAATGTTGGCTGAAGTTGACGGCCCCGTATTACTGATTCCGGAAGGGCCCTGCCGACCCCGCGGAAGCGCTCACGAAGCATGGGTAAGGGATGGGAGGTGGGGGAAAGAGTGGATAGGGTCACGGGAGAGGAGATGGGGAAGGAAGTGAGAGGACGTGGAGGGAGTGAGGATGAACTCGTCGCCATCTTCTCTGCGCATCAGCGGAGGGTTCGCCGTGGTTCGGTGTGTTGGTGGATGGTGTTAGTTGGTTTGGTGTTTGGTGGTTTGTCCATCCCTCCGACGACGGCCGAAGCCTCGCAGAGACCTGGCAAAGCTCGCAGAAGCCTCTCAGAGGCCTCTCAGAGCTCGCAGAAGCCTCGCAGAAGCCTCGCAGAAGCCTCGCAGAAGCCTCGCAGAAGCCTCTCAAAGCTCGCAGAAGCATCGCAGAGGCCTCTCAAAGCTCGCACACAAACATCGCAGAGCTCGCGGAAGCTTCGCAGAGGCCTCCCAGGAGCTAGCAGAAGCCTCGCAGAGGCCTCTCCCAGAGATCGCGAAAGCATGGCAGAAGCCTCTCAAAGCACGCAGAAGCCTCGCGGAGGCCTCTCGGAACTCGTTACAAAAATCGCAGACATCGCGGAAGCCTTGAAAAGGCCTCTTCAGAGCTTGCAAAGTTCGCAGAAGCCCCGTAGAGGCCTCCCAGAAGCCTCGCAGAAGCCTGGCAGAAGCCTCTCAAAGCTCGAAGAAGCCTCGCAGAGGCCCCTCAGAGCTCGCCGAAGCCTCGCAGAGGCTCCTCAGAGCTCGAATAAGCATCGCAGAGGCCGCCCAAAGCTCGCAGAAGCTTCGCAGAGGCCTATCAGAGCACGCACAAGCCTTGCAGAGGCCTCCCAGAAACCTCGCAGAAGCCTCCCAGAGTTCGCAGAAGTCCCGTAGAGGAATCCCAGAGCTCGCAGAAGCCTGGCAGAAGCCTTTCAGAGCTCGCAGAAGCCTCGCAGAGACCCCTCTAAGCTCGAAGAAGCCTCGCAGAGGCCTCAGAGGCCTCTCGGAGCTCGCAGAAGCTTCGCGAAGCCCCATCAGAGCTCGCAGAAGCCTCGCAGAGGCAGAAGCCTCGCAGAGGCCCCTCAGAGCTCGAAGAAGCATCGAAGAGGCCCCTCAGTGTTTCTGAAAGAAATACTTCACGTCTGAAGAAAAAAGAAAAACATCTGAAGAAGAAAGACTTCTGAAGAAGAAAGGAAGCACTTCTGAAGAAGAAAGAAATACTGCTGAACAAGAAAGAACCCCTGGATGGGGATATGGGCCGCTCCCTTTGGGTTTCGAGGGGTGTATCCCAAACTGGGGGGGGGGGTAAGTTGGTAGGGGTTCTCGAAGGGGATGGGGATGGGGATGGGGATCAGATCAACGATACTGAGCTGAGAGGGCTTCAGAGAAGAAGCCAGCACCGCAGGGTGGCCCTGGAGCTTTTCTGGCTTCTGGCGGGAAGCCTCGCCGCGCCCTGCTTCAGCTTTTCAACGTGTCCAGGAGGGCCTTTTCCTAAGTGTTTCCCGAAGCGTGTGCCCACGCCCGGAAGCTGCCCAGGAGCTCCCTCCGAAGCTCCTTCCAAGAGCTGTTATTGGACCTTCCTGGCGCCCAGCTATCCGAGATTCGACCGCCACAAGTCTAGCCTGACCTAGCTCATAAGTGGGTTGCAGGTGCCCCAAGCGGCTTACGGGGTGCAAAGATCTGGGAGAAATAGGCAGAGCTCACTCGGCAGAGCTGCCTACCCCCCTTTGAGCCACTCAGGGCGTTGGCAACCCATTCGCAAGCTGGCAAAACCCAGGTGTTGCCCAGATCAGCATTCGGTGGCAACTCATGGGAGCCTCCCATACCATCGTGTCGGCTCTTGCGAATCGACGCTAACCGACGCTAAATCGACGCGAATCGACGCGAAATCGACGCCAGTGGACGCTAGCCGACGCTCAGTTGGCGCTGTCTCATCGACTCTTAGACGCCAATCGACGCCTTATCGACGCTGAAGACAGATTTGAAAGGGTACGCACCAGGCTCCCACGATTTGCTACCGAACGGGAGCCCCGTTCGACCAGCTCCGAGCCGAGCCGAGGAGGGGGAAGAGGAGGAGGAGGAGGAGGAGGGGGAGGGGGAGGAGGAGGAGGAGGAGGAGGAGGAGGAGGAGGAGGAGGAGGGGAGGAGGAGGAGGAGGAGGAGGAGGAGGAGGAGGAGGAGGAGGAGGAGGCGTGTCGCCGTCTCAGGGGCCTCCACCGACCTGCCCGAATTAAGGGAAAATCTCGAGCGAGAGTCCCGTTCCTGAGCTCGGGGGCCTTCCTGGCCAGGGGCTCTCGGAGCAAGTCGTGAGGAGGCATCGAGCAGGAGCCCTTGTCGTCGCGGCGTGGCGGGGACCAGCATCCACTCACAGAGCCCCGCATGATGATGATGATGATGATGATGATGATGATGATGATGATGATGATGATGATGATGATGATGATGATGATGATGATGATGATGATGATGATGATGATGATGGTGATGATGATGATGATGATGATGATGATGATGAGGAGGAGGAGGAGGAGGAGGAGGAGGAGGGAATGAGCAGTATCAGCAACAGTAGCAGCAGTCGTAAAGCTGGCCGTAAAAAGTTCTGGCGACAGAATTCGGTATCGCGCACATCTGGCGGTTACCGCAACTCTAACGCTCGCTGCTGGTCGACGTCGAGAGGCTGCTGCCACTACAATTTAGCGCGATACCGAATATTGTCGTTCAAACTTCTTATGACAAACCTCGTTGTATCAACCGTGTGCTTAAGCTCAGCAGCAGTGGCAGCAGTCATAGTGTTAGCAGCTCCCGACGTCGACAAAGCTTCGGGCGTCCGATGAAGTAACTGGCTGGTGACCTTGTGACTTGCCTACAGGTGCGTTCCGCCTCCTCCGTCGTCCTCGTCATCGTAGTCCGTCGGCGGGGAGGGGGAGGAAGGACTCCCCGTGGCCACTGAGCAGAAGTAACGCACATGTTGGGTTCAAACTAAAGCTCCCCCTGTCGAAAAACATGTCTTCGGGCCCTCTTGGAATCCATTTTGAACGGCGTCCGTTCCCGAAGAATCCCATCAAAGCCTCTGAGCCGAGATCGAGGCGACCGTGGCTTTGCACCACGTTCTTTATATTGCTTCGATGCATGGTTGAAACTAAGTTTAGTCGCGCCAACGACTGAGTCGATAAAACCGTGGCCGATACGTTACAGGATCTATGTATAACGGGCTTGGATCTATTCAGAATAGTTAATAAATAAAAAATAGATAAATATATATATGACACATCAATTAACATATATTATGATCTAAACGCAAAATCCTGTGATCCTCAAAAAACTACAGGAGAACACGTCAATCCAAGAAGTACTACGGGTTTTCAATGTTTTGTGTCTTCGCCAATGTATAACGAATCGCTATAGTTTGTGTGACGGCGAAGATCAATTGTTTTCTCAAAGCGGACTCCGGCCAGAACAACACAAAAACAATAGACAAACACATGAATCCAGTAAGTAAGACTGCTCTTCGAAATTTTTGCGTCTTCGCCATGTACTACGAATCGCTATATTTGTGCGACGGCGAGGATCAGCTGTCGTCTCAAAGCGGGCTCGGGCCAGAATTGACGAGAAACAAAAAAAAACATCTGAATCCAGAATATAATACGATGTTCCAGATTTTGCGTGTTGGCCGATGTACTACGAATCACTATACTTTGCGCAAAGGCGAAGATCAGCTGTCATCTCAGAGCGAGCCCAAGCCAGAATGGACAAGAAGCAATAGAAAAAACCTGCAAATCAAAAAAAAGTGTATATTTGTTGTTTTAAGTTTCCTGTTGACGACGGTTTGATACTACTTGCTATCGTTTGCGCGACGGTGAGGGTCACCTGTCATCTCAGAGAAGGCTCCGGCCAGACTGAACGCAAACATAAGAAAAACGCATAAATCCAGAAAATACTATCATTTGTTCTATATGGTGCGTGTTGGCCGGTTTCATACTCATTGCTATACACCGGCTCCATCTGAAGCTATTCGCTTCAATCTCTGGAGGTTCCTGCGTCGACGTTGTCGGCGCTCCTCCCCCTCATCCCCCTCGCTGATTTTCGTTTTGCGCGCGCAGTCCCCTGAAACCATACGCAAATACGTATGTGTTCTGCCTCGCTTTGCTCTGCCACGCGGTTTTCGCTCCGGCCGTTCCCCTTTGTGACCTAAAACACAACGTGTGAAAACTCCTCCAACTCCTCCAACCTGCGTCCCAGAGGGTGGAAACCGATGTTGATTTGTGCTACCCGTCGACGACTCGTGCTTTTTCTATCCTGGAGCTCTCCCGATCCCCTGGAACTCCCAAACAGATGGCGCCAGTTTCCCCCACGAACGAACGCCCAGAATAGATGGACAACTCAAGAAAAAAAACGATTCGGCCGGGGATGGGTGACCACCCCCGGCCCGGACGCAGGGGGCTACCCCTGCGCCCGATTCAGCTGACGATGGGTTACCACCGCCACCCTGGGCGCAAGGGCTCCCCCCTGCGCCCCATTCGGCTAGTGAACGATGGGTTAACACCGCCAGCCCGGACGCAAAGGCTCCCCCCTGCGTACGATTCGGTTGACGATGGGTTATGGGTTACCACCGCCACCCCGGACGCAAGGGGTTACCCCTGCGCCCGACTCGGCTGACGATGGGTTACCACCGCCAGCCCGGAGACAAGGGTTTCCCCCTGCCTCCGATTCGACCGAGGATGGGTTACCACCCCCCGCCCGGACGCAAGGGGTTCCCCCCGCGCCCAACCGCCGCTTCGGCCGAGGATGGGTTCCCACCCCCGGCCTGGACGCAAGAGGGTTTCCCCCTGCGCCCAGCCGCCGTCGTTCTCCCCCACTCCTGTTCCTGCTCTTCCTCCTGAAACGCAAACTGACTCCGCTCGGATTCGCGCCGTGTTGCCCTCGGCCCGCGGGTCAACGGGGGGCGACATCGAGTGCCCCCCCCCGCACGGAGATAGCCTGAAGGAGGCCTCCCAGAGGTCCCAAGGAGCCCCAAGATACCCCCAAAGAGTTCCCCAAAGAGTTCCCCAAGTGCCCCCAAGGAGATTCCAACCGCCTCCAAGAGGCGTCAAAAGGCATCGAAACTGCCTCTGTCAGGCCCCAAAGCCGTCAACCACGAGCATCCAACCAACATTCATGACGCCTCTGACATACCACCCAGCCACGATGGCCAGACACGCCGAAAGCTACAAGATAGCCCCATGAAGGCCCACGAGCACCCCCCCAAACAGCATCAAGAAGGCCCGAACAACCCACACTCATTCATGGTTCGCCTCAAGTTCGATATGTTTTCATTTCGTACAAACTAACCACCCAGAGTCCCACTACGCCCTGCCACGCACCTGTCTCACTTCGCCGGTTCCTCTAGCGCGGTGGCGGATATGCGCGGCAGCGCAATTAGACATTTCAAGTCACGACCCCGACCATAAAATTCAGCGAGGATGCCACAGGCGAGACCCAAGGAAGCTCGCGTTGGGGAAGAGTTGCGTAAGAGCTTGCAACAAACATCGACACATAATGTAATACAGCCGAGCTCTCGGAACGAGCATACGCGACACAGATGGCACGCACGCACCCCGAACGTTCACAAGCATACGTATTCCTAGTGTATTCCTGATGATCCTCCTCACGCACCAAGAAAATCACAATCATCGAACACGACGACTCGGAAAGAAGGAGAAGAAAGACAAGAGAAAGAGGAGGAGAAGTCAGGAGAAAGAATAAGAAAAGGAGGAAAGAGAAATGCCGAGAATAAAAAGGAGGATCCTAAGAAGAACGAGGTTGATCAGGAGTATGAGGACGGATACGAAAAGGAGAAAGAGGAGGAAGAGGCTGACAAGGGAACAGGAGGAGAAGAGGAGAGGAAAACGCGGAGGAACCGTTCGCCTTCTGAGGCCATCCTACAGGCCATCCTACAGAGCATCGCGTTCGCCTCAACCACTCTCCCCAAACACCTGTCTCCCTCTTCCCCTCAAGGTGACCGACGAATACCAGTCATCGATGCACATTCACAGAACGGCTTTTTTAGGATGAGCTGGTGGGGGTTCGCTAAGCATCAATAATTTGTGTTTATTGCTCCTTGGTGCAACGGAGGGATTCCACCATGGACGCATAATCTGCGGCCAGAAGCGCAAAATCGCGCATGCCGAGATGCGCGACGCCTGCAGTTGCAACATGATCCGCCACAGTCCAAAAATTCAATATCCAATGGTACGAATGAGCCAGTTGTAGCTGGGGCCGTCCTCTCCATCGCTGGGACTTCCAGTTTCGAAGCAAACAAATATTTGCGTGGCCATCTCGGAACACCATGTTTCTCGATACAATGTTGGGGCGCTCACCCAAACAGAAACTTCACGGACTCATTGGGCGTTTTGTATGGAATCTTCAGACAATCCTGCATGGTAACACAACTGTTTTGTTCAGAACACTGACACTTGTTACTTGATGTATGTCCGCAAAAAACGTTATTATCCAGGAGAACAACCTGGAGGCGGTGCCGGTGCAGGAAGGCTGCTTCCCGAAAGGCAGCTTGGTCCGTATAACTCTGTCTGAGCATGCCGGGCACACGATTTTGCTTCACATAAAGCTCAAGGACGGTGCGCAAGAATGCACGCGTTGCGTTTGATTTGCGAACCATGACTCCAGAGCCGGAATCATGTTCAGGGAAGTGCTTATATTCTTCCAGTACTGGATCAATCGAAGCATCAGAAACATACAAATCATTATGACCACCTGTTGCACCAAATTTACTATGGGTGTGGGACCAGAAAAGATCATGATTGGGACGTGCTTGCCATTTTGAGACGAGGGATTCTGCCCAGCCCGGGCAACGGAGAACGTCCCCGTCAAAAACCACGGCATATTCGAAATTTGTGTTCAACAGTGCATATGCTTTGCCAACATGTCCACCAGCCGTCCCACTCAAATCAAGAGAAGGGGCCACCTTGATATGGCCAAGTTTCGGAAGCACGCGAAGGGCGATTGTTGCAGAGTGCAAGCGCAAATAATCATGCATCTCATCAGAAAGACCTGTGCTTGGTCCAATCCATAGTTCAATTGGAACGAAAGGTGCTGTGCTCTGGGCATTTTGAAGCGAAACCAAAACCATGCCTGGTACTGTACCGTTTCCCCGCGAATCTACAAGCACTAAGCCTAAGTTCGCAGGTTTTGCAAACTGAACTGTTATGTTTGCCCTGCGCGACTTAGCACCAACAGTGTACATACTCCGTTGTTTGTGCAATATTCGCATTTCCAACAAGAGCCCCAATATAAAAAAAACAGCAAGGGCGACACGGATGCCCAGCCATTGGTGATACCGTGCGCCATTGCGAGTTGAAGCACTGTCAATCACCAACGGCGAAAAGGATGCCTCCCCGTTGCTGATACCAGGCCTCATTGCGAGTGGAAGCGCTCTGAAGATCACAGGCAAGAACTACCACACATTGCTTGAGCCAGACTTGCTCGCCCCTTGGGCCGCCTTGGCCTTGGAAGACCGAACAACCGAGAACGCCACAATCTTTCAAAAACCTATAGCACATCATTGATTTGGACCCGTTGGGGCTCTCTTGGAGGTCCTCTTGGGGCCTCGTCGGGAACGCTTGTGGCCTCTTGGAGCGTCCCGGAAGCCTTTGGGGGGTTATTGGGGCCATCTTGGGGCGGGTTCCCCCACTGGGCCCCCTTTTGGACCACTCGAGAAGCATATTTGGGCCATGCTGGAGCCCTCTGGCCTCCCCGGATCTCTTGGTCCTTCCATTGGGGAGGTTGGGTCTACGTGGGATGTACGTATGGTGTACGTAAATGTATAGGTTCTGTATGTATATATTTACAGGGGCCTGGCCCGGGGGGGTCCCGTTTCGAGCCGGCGCCGAAGACGCTATTTGAAGACGCTATTCCCCCAAGGAGCTGCGGTGACGCCTCTATTCCGCTGGCGCCTGGTGAAGCTCAGGACGCCTCTATTCGGCCTGAAGCCTCTTTACCGTTGACGCCCATTGAAGCTCGTGAAGCCTCTACGGCCTGAAGCCTCTATTCGGCCTGAAGCTTGTATTCGGCTTGTGACGCCTCTATTCGGCCTACGAATTGCGACGCACTGGTGGGGTGGCGATCCTAGACGCGCCTCTTCGGCCTGAAGCCTCTATTCCACTGACGCCCATTGAAGCTGGTGAAGCCTCTATTCGGCCTGAAGCCCCTATTCCCCTGACGCCTATTGAAGCTCGTGAAGCCTCTATTCGGCCTGGAGCCTCTTTTCTCCCGACGCCCATTGAAGCTCGTGAAGCCTCTATTCGGCCCGAAGCCTCTGTTCCCCTGACGCCCGCTGAAGCTCGTGACGCCTCTATTCGGCCTGAAGCCCTTATTCCCCTGACGCCCGGTGAAGCTCGCGAAGCGTCTACTCGGCCTGAAGCCTCTATTCCACTGACGCCCATCGAAGCTCGGGAAGCCTCTATTCGGCCTGAAGCTTCTATTCCCCTGACGCCCATTGAAGCTCGGGACGCCTCTATTCGGCCTGAAGCTTCTATTCCCCTGCCGCCCATTGAAGCTCGTGAAGCCTCTATTCGGCCTGAAGCCTCTATTCCCCTGACGCCAGGTGAAGCTCGTGAAGCCTCTATTCGGCCTGAAGCCTTTATTCCCCTGGCGCCTGGTGAAGCTCGTGAAGCCTCTATTCGGCCCGAAGCCTCTGTTCCCCCTGACGCCCGTTGAAGCTCGTGAAGCCTCTATTCGGCCTGGAGCCTCTATTCCCCAGGCGCCCGGTGAAGCCCGTGACGCCTCTATTCGGCCTGAAGCCTCTATTCCCCTGACGCCCGTTGAAGCTCGTGACGCCTCTATTCGGCCTGAAGCTTCTATTCCCGTGACGCCCGGAGAAGCTCGTGACGCCTCGCAGGTTTCGTGCCCCAGGGGAGGGCAAATCTACAAGCAAATACGTAAAACGCGAAAGACTCGTGCCCCTGGAAAGGGATCGTGCCCCAGGAGAGGGCCAATGACGCAAAGGACTCGTCTCCCATGATACGGCCACTCTATCAGCACGCACGTGAAGGTCGAATTATTCGCGCCCTAGGAGAGAGTCAATATGTAGGCACATACGTAAATCACTAAGAGGATTCGTGTTCTAAGAGAAGGCCGATCTATTGGCACATACGTTAAACACGAAAGGATTCGTGCCCCAGGGGAAGGCTAATCTGTATGCACACACGTAAGGCACGAAGGATTCATACTCCAAGAGAGGGCGAATCTAAAGGCACATACGTAAAGCACGAAGGGTTCGTGCCCCAGGAGAGGGCAAATCCATAGGCGCATACATAAAACACGCAAGGCTCATGCCCCAGGGGAGGGCAAATCTATAAGCAAATACGTTTTTAACAAATTACCCTGTGAGTACCCAACCCATTTGTATCATGGGAAACGACGAGTTGGCCGAAACTTGCATGGACAATCAAATTGCAGGATCCGGTGTTTGATATGTAAGCTACTTGGGACACGCGCCTATGGAATGATGCGCAGGAGAACCGTACAAGAACGAGGGGCGACAACTACAGGCTCGAAGAGGACATGGGGAGTCGGGAACGAAGAGCAGGAGAAAGACGTGCGGGAAGCCCACTGTGCTGGGCCCCTCAGCAGCCCTCGAAAGTGGCGACAGTTTCACAGATCGCAGCCCCCCAGGGATGGCGAGGTCAAATCTGAGTCTGCGGTAAGTACCCACTGTGCTGGGCCCCTCAGCAGCCCTCGAAAGTAACGACAGTTTCACAGATCGCAGCCCCCCAGGGATGGCGAGGTCTAATCTGAGTCTGCGGTGAATACCTTCTGTGCTGTGCCCCTCAGCAGCCCTCGAAAGTGACGACAGGTTCACAGATCGCAGCCCCCCCAGGGATGGCGAGGTCTAATCTGAGTCTGCGGTGAGTACCCAGTGTGCTGGGCCCCTCAGCAGCCCTCGAAAGTGGCGACAGTTTCACAGATCGCAGCCCCCCAGGGATTGCGAGGTCAAATTTTAGTTTGCGGTAAGTGCCCACTGTGCTGGGCCCCCCAGCAGGCCTCGAAAGTGGCGACAGTCTCACAGATCGCAGCCCCCCAGGGATGGCGAGGTCTGATTTGAATCTGCGGCGAGTGCCCACTGTGCTGGGCCCCCCAGCAGGCCTCGAAAGTGGCGACAGTTTCACAGATCGCAGCCCCCCAGGGATGGCGAGGTCTAATTTGAATCCGCCGTGAGTACCCACTGTGCTGGGCCCCCCAGCAGGCCTCGAAAGTGGCGACAGTTTCACAGATCGCAGCCCCCCAGGGATGGCGAGGTCTAATTTGAGTCCGCCGTGGGCGTCACTGTGCTGGGCCCCCCAGCAGGCCTCGAAAGTGGCGACAGTTTCACAGATCGCAGCCCCCCAGGGATGGCGAGGTCTAATTTGAATCCGCCGTGGGTACCCACTGTGCTGGGCCCCCCAGCAGGCCTCGAAAGTGGCGACAGTTTCACAGATCGCAGCCCCCCAGGGATGGCGAGGTCTAATTTGAATCTGCGGTGAGTACCCACTGTGCTGGGCCCCCCAGCAGGCCTCGAAAGTGGCGACAGTTTCACAGATCGCAGCCCCCCAGGGATGGCGAGGTCTAATTTGAGTCCGCGGTGAGTACCCACTGTGCTGGGCCCCCCAGCAGGCCTCGAAAGTGGCGACAGTTTCACAGATCGCAGCCCCCCAGGGATGGCGAGGTGCAATTTCAATCCGCCGTGTGTACCCACTGTGCTGGGCCCCCCAGCAGGCCTCGAAAGTGGCGACAGTTTCACAGATCGCAGCCCCCCAGGGATGGCGAGGTGCAATTTCAATCCGCCGTGTGTACCCACTGTGCTGGGCCCCCCAGCAGGCCTCGAAAGTGGCGACAGTTTCACAGATCGCAGCCCCCCAGGGATGGCGAGGTGCAATTTCAATCCGCCGTGTGTACCCACTGTGCTGGGCCCCCCAGCAGGCCTCGAAAGTGGCGACAGTTTCACAGATCGCAGCCCCCCAGGGATGGCGAGGTGCAATTTCAATCCGCCGTGTGTACCCACTGTGCTGGGCCCCCCAGCAGGCCTCGAAAGTCGCGACAGTTTCACAGATCGCAGCCCCCCAGGGATGGCGAGGTGCAATTTCAATCCGCCGTGTGTACCCGCTGTGCTGGGCCCCCAGCAGGCCTCGAAAGTGGCGACAGTTTCACAGATCGCAGCCCCCCAGCTGGCACGCAGCGACGAGCGAGGCAAAAGGCAAGGGGGAAGAGAAGGGCGGGAAGGAAGAAAGGAGACGCGCGAGCAGTGCTCTATTCAAAACGAGAACCCAACGCAGGAGGGTTGGGAATCAGATTCCTGTCCCTGGTAAAGGCCCACATATATATATATATATATATATATATATATATATATATACGCGAAAGACAAAGGACTCGTGCCCCAGGAGAGGGCCAACCTATACGCACATGTGTAAAACACAAAGAATTCGCGCCCCAAAAGAAGGTAAATCTCTAGGCATCACGTAACACGCTAAGGATTCGCGCTCCATGATACAGCCAATACATTATAAGCACGCGCGTAAAACACTTAGCATTCGTGCCCCAAGAGTAGGCAAATCTATAGGCACATACGTGAAACGCAATGGAGTCGTGCCCCAAGAGAAGGCCAATCTATTGGCACATACGCTTAACACAAAAGGATTCGCGCCACAGGAGAAGGCCAAGACAGCTCCAGGAGGCACCGGGAGGGGCCAAGACAACCCCAGAAGACACCAGGAGGTCCCAGGAAGCCTCGGGGAGCCCTGGGAGGCCCCAGGAGGCTCCAGGAGACTCCAGGAAGCTCCAAAGAGCCGCAGGAAGCTCCAGGAGGCCCCAGGAAGCCCAAGGAGGCCCCAGGAAGCCCGAGGAGAGGACCAATCTATTATAGGCACATGCGTTAAACAGAAAGGATTGTGAAGCCACCCTGACCGCGCCGCACCGGTGACACGCTACCAACGGATCCATCCTGTGGGCTCCTGGGGTTTTCCGCCTCAAGAAGGTCCTGGGTGGCCTCGAGAAACACCCATGAGGCCCCATGAGACCCCCAAGAAGACCAAACGAGGCCCCAAGAGGCCCCAAAAAGGCCCCCCAGGAGGCTTCAAAACAGCATCCAAGAGCCCGACGAGAAACCTGTTTCTCGTCGGCCGCCCCCGCCGCCGCCGGACGCCGCCGCCCGATGGGGCTGGGTTGCGGGTCCAAGGCCTCCTGGATGTTCGTTTGGGGGTCTCTTGGGAGGTTTCTCGTCGGGCTCTTGGAAGCCGTTTTGAAGCCTCCTGGGGGGCGGTTTTGGGGCCTCTTAGGATTCTTTTTTGATCAACTTGGGGAGGGGTCTTGTCTAGTAGAAGGTGCCGCACAGGAGGTGGGGCACGCCTACCACCCATGATTATGTTTTAATCAACTTGGGGAGGGCTCTTGCCTATCAGAGGGTGCCGCACAGCAAAGGGGCATGTCTAGCACCAAGGATTATGTTTCGATTAACTTGGGGAGGGGTCTTGCAG